GCTTCATATTAGCCAAAAACGTACCAATATGAAGGGCTATTGCGTGAGGGCTATTGCAAATTTGGAACATTTGGGATACCATATAACCCTCCTTATGTCAACTAAATGAACTGAATTTTCAAAACTAAGATCACTTTTGGATTCGTTTAGTTGAACTAAATGAACTAAGAGTTTTAAAATTGCATCTCTCATACAGGTCGGCAATTGTATTTCACATTGATTGTTTTTTATTTCAGGGAAATATATTTTTACTTGGCAAAATTTCAAAAAAAATGTTAAAATTAATATAGCATGAAAAAGAGGAAAAATTTGTGCGTATAAAATCCATCTCAATTAAAAAATGTCCCTGTATACAATATGTTTATTTATTTTAAGAAAAAATCATATAATTTTAAAAAATAGGCATGTATATCTACATATGTTTTACTTACATTTAAAAAATAACATATTTATACCAAAAAGGATGATGGTGCCTGAACTACCTATTCTATTACCTTACGGGGAGCCCCAAAGCCACATCCCTTGGCCTTTCTCCCTATGTGGATGGATGATAAACTCAATGCCAATCGAAGCAAGGGCTCCGCATGAAGCACATTATGTAAATTAAATAAAAGTTGAAAACAATTATACCAAACAATAAAGGGTGAAACATGAACAAAAATAAATGAAAATGGAATATTAACGAGAAAAAATGAAGAGGAAATTAACAAGAAGAAGAAGAAAATAAGTAAAAAGCGCACACATGTGTTAGGTCATCAATGCAGGCAAAATGGGGCCACCAAAAAGGCTGGAATAAGATTTTCTGCTCCACGGTGCTCTGGCTCGGTTTAGTACCACCTCGCCTGTGAGACGAAGCGGGGGTGGTAGAGCAAGTGCATATAACTAGCACATAGGGCAGCGCTGCAACATACCAACCTACCTGGATGGGGCTTACGACTGATCAAGAAGGGTCGTGGGCTAGATCAACGGCTCACATTGCACTTGGTGAGCATGTTGTTCTACCATCTCCCCAATTGGGAGAATGGGCGTCATAATTTTTGGTAGAGGGGGTATGCGCTTGTGCGGCCCCTACCAATCCAGAATATTCAAATTTAGAAATTGGTAAATTGTAGATATGCATGTTTGGCAAGTTGTTCTACTTCATCAAGTAAGCATATGTGGTGCATTTTGCTTGCCTTCAAAAGTTTTGCAATGGCAAGAGTTGCAATAATAATAATAACTCTATGCAAAGTTGGGTACTCAGTTATGCAACCACTCAATTTGGGTCAATGTCAAATATTGGCATTTCAAAATTTAACATCAAACCAAGCAAGACCACAATGTTCCTTTTGATGGCCTATGAATAATGTACTACAAACTTGGTTTGACACACAATGTTCCTAGTGAGGACATCTTCAAAACAAGGCTAAACTGTAATGCAGATTGTCAACTTAATTATGGGTTTGTGAAACGAGAGAATATTGTTACTACAAGCCTAACTACTTTCCACACACTAAATTGTTTCTTCACAATATTCTTTGGAATGTTCTCATGATATATATAGCTTTAAAAACTTTTCATGTGGAGCATGTTGCAACAAGTTATCAATACGAATTGATGAGCCAAATCATGAATTAAAGAAACAATGGATGTTGGGATCGTCGGTCTAACTGGTTTACACATTCTATGTGCCAGATCACAGAACTGACACTGCAATATGATGTTGGGATTTTCTTTTGCTCGATTAAGTTTGTCAAGTTGTTGTTCATCATAGCATAAACCAACACTACCCTTCATCTACTCCGCACTTATTAATTGTAAGGGACAAAGCTCCAGTATAGGCACTGGTGTCAACTAGCACTAGCAATTTTTTAAAAATCCTTCACTAAATTTAGTTTAATCATTGTTAATTTTTGGAATGACATCATGCTATAGAACTGAACCATAGGATCTCTTTTCTAGCTTCACCATTTGTTATAATATGACTAGAAGCTTTGTCCTTCTTTGCAACTAATGACAATGTATAAGGATTTCATGGCGTGAAGGCAAGAGATCAAAGCTAAATAACCTCCATACATCAAATTATTAGATCATTACCTTTATAAATCCAATGGTTTCTATGAATGCACACTCGCATGCACACCCTACCCCTATGAGCACCTTCGATAGACTGAGTTGGCCCTTCTTCACCGAGAAAACTCTAGAAAATGCAAAACTTGTCAAAAATTTAAACAACTTGGCATGATGCCTTGAATTGGTCAGAGAAGTTGGTGCAAAAAAAATTGCGGCCATTGGGCGGATTCTGAAAAACAATTTACTTCCAAAAAACCCTTCTAGCTGTAGTTGAAGCGTGTGTCCTTGGCGAACTCCGCCATGCACCTCGCCTCCAGGTTCGCATAGGCTCTGGTTGACATGATCAAGGCGGCGCCGAGGGCAGTGGCGACAACGGGGAGCTTGGTCATTAAGGCCCTCATCGATCTCAGCTTCTTCAAGCTAGTAGCGGTTTTGTGTGCGGAGCCAATACCGTGTATGTATTGTTGGTACTTATTTTGTGCCAATGCGGGGCTCTCCCGGAAGAGGTTGCCATCAAAGAGAGGCATGGGCTTCTTGATCCTTTGTCTGAACCTGGCAAAACATTGCACTTGTTGAGCGTGTTGTTCTATCATCTTCCCAATTGGGAGAATGGACATCATAATTTTTGGTGCCACGTGGTGGGCCTTTAGTGCTGGTTCGTGACGAACCGACACTAAAGAGGGAGGACCTTTAGTCCCCACCCTTTAGTGACGGTTGCAGAACCGGCACTAAAGGTCCTTACGAGCGGGGACAATAGCCCGATTCTGCATTAGTGATAGGATTTTCCGCTCCACGGCGCTCTGGCTTGGTTTAGTACCACCTCGCTAGTAAGAGGAGGCGAGGGTGATAAATCAAGTGTATCTATACTCCTATATAGTGTACCAATTTTGAATCCAACTCAGAGTATCAATTCTAACTATTAATCTCATAAATCTAACGGCTTAGAGCTGAGGGATTCGCAGTGAACAGTAGCTTCAGTTGCCTCTATCGTGTTCTGGAACCATCCAACCTTCGTTCCCCCAAAAAAGGCCCATGCATGTCTCATGGGCCTCATGGCCACGTACCTTTTGAGCTGCAGCAAGTTTGCAAGTCCCCTAAAGAAAAAGCAAGTCTGCAAGTGCAAAGGGGCTACATTTCTTCTGGCATGGAATAGCTTATATTTGTTTATTTACATTAATTCAAATCTCTTTCACCAAAAACCTAAATGGGATTGCCCTTAAGTTCGTCAATACACAATGTTCAATTACTTTGATCATTTGTCAGGACACACTATGATGTTAAGACGTGCATTGCACGTGTATGTAAACTAGTATAACTAGCATATAGGTCAACGCTGCAGCATACCCCTATCTAGACGGGGCTTACGACTGATCAAGAAAGGTTGTGGCCTAGATCAACGGCTCACACTTCACTTGGTGAGTGTGTTGTTCTACCATCTCCTCAATTGGGAGAATGGATTGCTAGAGGGGGTATGCTTATGTGCAACCCCTATCAATCTAGAAAATTCAAATTTAGATATTGGTAAATTGAAGCTATGCATGTTTGGCAAGCTGCTTCCACTTCATCAAGTAAGGGTATGTGGTATGTTTGGTTTGCCTTCAAAAGTTTTGCAATGGCAAGACTTGCAAAAATAATAATAAGCTGGGTACTCAATTTTGCAACTAGTCAATTAGTAGGCAATATTGGGTCAATGCCAAATATTGGCATGTAAAAATTTAACATCAAACCAAGCAGGATCACAATGTTCTTTTTGATGGCTTATGAATATTTGTACTACAAACATGATTTGACACACAATGCTCCTAGTGATGACATCTTCAAAACAAGGCTAGACTATAATACAGATTCTCAATTTAATTATGGGTTTGTGAACAGAGTACTGCAAGCTTAATTAATTTCCACACACTAAATTGTTTCTTCACAGTATCTTTGGAATGTTCCCCCGGTATATCTAGCTTTAAAAACTTTTCATGTGGAGCGTGTCGCAATAAGTTGTCAATGTGACTTGACGAGGCAAATCATGATTTAAAGAAACAACAGATCTCGGGATCATAGGTCTAACTGGTTTACACACTCTATGAGCCAGATCACATACTCCCTCCGTCTAGGTGTGTAAGTCATCTTACGAAAACCAAATAATCCCAAAATACTAAGGCACGGTGCATTAACTTCTACCTCGTTTCTTGTTTCTTCACATATCAACCAATAAGAGACAAGGGGTGCGCATGCTTTTAATGACTTGAGACTACCAAACACGACATGCAGTGGTTAGTTCATTGCATGCAATGCTATTAATTAGCAACTAAACATTAATGTCTCCCGTTTTCCCCTCCTTCTTGGTCACGGTGCACAACCTAAGACGACTTACTCACCTAGACGAAGAGAGTAACTAACACTACAATATGATGCTATTAATTACTTTACATATTATTTTTTTGCTCGATTAAATTTATCAAGCATTTGTTCTTCATCGGATAAACCAATATTAATCTTCATCTGCTCTGCACTTATTAGCTATAGGGGACGAAGCTCCAGTATAGGCACCGGTGTCAACTGACACCGGCGATTTTATAATATCCCTCATTAAATTTAGTTTAATCACTATTCCCTCCGTCTCATAATATAAGAACGTTTTTGATACTAATGTAGTGTTAAAAACGTTTTTATATTTTGGGACAGAGGGAGTATTAATTTTCGGGAATGATACCATGCTATAGAACTGAGCCATATGATCTCTCTTCCAGCTTCATCCTTTGCTTTGCTATAGTCCGACAAGAAGCGTTGTCCTTATTTGCAGAACTAACGACAATGTATAAGGATTTCAAGGCGTGGAGGCAGCAGGAACGAAACTGAATAACCTCCCTACATCAAATTATTAAATCATTAATTACCCTTTATTATTACTCAATAGATTGGTTTCTTTCTACGCCCCAGATCCACATCGAAAATCACAAAAGGTCGGTGATGGCCCCGCATATGATCCCCAACTGCTCACACTTTGCGCTCTGCTCCAAGAACGGGGCCCCCAGCCCGGCTTCGTGGAAGTACCGATCGCAGTCGCCCACGGCCGAGGGTACGTCCCGAGCTGCACTCTTGGCGTCGGCGTAGGCGTTCTTGTCGATCAAGTGCTCAGCAAACAAGAACAAGTTGCTCGCACGCTGGTAGATGTAGTAGCACGTCTGGTAGGGATCGTACGCCTTGCGCTCCGTGCGCGGATCCTCCAGCCTCGCCCTGGCCTTGGCCTCCGTGGCGGCGGCCAACTTGGCGCCCATCTCCGCCGTGGCCTTGGCGAGCTCCCGCGCGCCATCCCCGGTTTGTGCCGCTGCCGACAGTGCCTTCACGCAGAAGCTGTAGTTGAAGCGCGTGTCCTTGGCGGACGCCGCCATGCACGTCGCCTCCAGGTTCGCGTAGGCTCTGGTTGACATGATCAACACGGCACCGAGGGCAGTGGCGACGGCGAGGAGCTTGCCCATTAAGGCCCTCATCGATCTCAGCTTCTCAAGCAGGTTATGTGTGCCGGGCCGATATTGTGTATGTATTGCTGGTGCTTGATGCTTTTTTGTGTTATATGCGTGAGGAGAGCATACGTATATATAATATGGTGGTAATGTGAGAGATCAAAATAGCAATACAACTCATTTAATAAGGAGTGGAAAATAGCAATGCTAAATATATGTGATGCGTCTTGAAGTTCATAAATCTCCATAAATAAGGGAGGTCAAGCAGCACCCATCCTGTATTTCTTACATTTAAAGACAAAGATTAACTGGAAATTCAATTCGGCTCTCGGGAGCATATGCTCCTGCGCATGAAAAAACGCATTTTACAAATGTTTAAAAAAATCTGAAAAAAAATAG